AGACTCACTGAACCCAAAAATGGACTAACAGTTACTGAAGGGAGAGGGCCTGGGGAGGATGGGTGGGAAGGGAGGGATAAGGGGGAAAAAGGGGGCATTACAATTAGCAGACATAATGTTGGTGGGGGGCATGGGGAGGGCTGTACAACACAGAGAAGACAAGTAGTGATTCTGTGGCATCTTACTACGCTGATGGACAGTGACTGTAATGGGGTATGTGGTGGGGACTTGATGATGGGGGGAGTCTAGTAACCATAATGTTGCTCATGTAATTGTAGATTAATAATACCAAAAGAAAAAAAAAGAAGGTAGGTAAAAATTCCTTGCTGCAGCTCTGAGAATAATAGAACACAGGGAGGCTTTGAAAGGACCCAACCAACAGACAGGCCCACTTTGTGTTCTGTGTGCTACCCTTGCTATTGATCTTTTATGATGACATCCTGGCGTGGCTGTGGCCAGGTGAGACAGCAGTTATTAAGTTAGTTCATTCAGTTGAATAGGAGCTTGCTGAAAGCCAAAGGCCACTCTAAGGAAAAACCAGACCTGCCTAGTCAGTCATATGATGAATGACAGAGTGAGAGATAAGCGCAGATCTTGTCCCTTGCTCCTAGAGGACACCATGGGACTTCAATTAGTGCTAATGAGAAAACAGGTGAATGCTATCTCTTAGACACACCACTTCTGTTTAGTCAGACATATTACAAATTGAATTCAGGGAGTCGTGAGCAGCCTTATCTGGTGTCCACCAACTCCTATATGCACATACTTGGAAATGTACAAATGCCCCATTTTAAAAGGAAAAATAGTTAAATGTGTTACTGATTTTTTTAAAAATAGAAATTTAAGCTGATGTCATTACCTTTAATGGGATAAATGATTTGGCATAACCTCTCTACTGTAATATTTGCAATATTAGCAAAAATAATTGGAAAGTCAAATAAAAACTTATGTTTACACAAAAACCTGTTCTTGAATGTTTATAACAAATTTACTTGTAATCATCAAAAACTGGAAACAACCCAAATATCCTTCAGCTGGATTAACAAACCATGAGAAATTCATTCAATGGAAACTACTCACAGTAAGAAGGAAGAAACTATTGACACACGAAACCACTTGGCTGTATTCAGGTGAATTATGTGAAGTGAAAAGATGAGAATCTCAAAAAGGTATATGTTGTATGATTCCATTCACATGACATTCTGGAAAAGGCAAAACTGTACAAACAGAAACAGATCAGTGGTTGCCAGGAGCTAGGATATACGGGGGGTTGACTGCAGAGGAGCAGGGAGAAATCTGGGAGGCGATGGGACGATGCTATATCTTGGTTGTGGTGGTGTTTACACAACTGTATGCATTTGTCAAAACTTGCAGAACTGTACACTATAAATGGCATGTATTTGACTGTGTGTAAATTGTACCTTTATAAATGAAAAAAATGAGAAACAAAGCAAATGCTCC